ATTTATAATTTTTTATTGAAAAGGCAAAGAAGTATTTGTTATACAGTTTTTTCCAAATGAATCACACGTTGCATTCAAATGAAAAATTCATATCATTTTCAAAGAATTACAAATACATTTGGATATAAAATATTTTAGATCCGTTTTTGCATTCAAATCAATTCTAATCAATTGTATAGTAGTTTTTTGTTAAATAAAATCCCATAAAAGGCACATTTACTTGAATTTCATAATTATGTGTAATTTTGGCAAATGTTTGGCTATATATTTAGGAAAAGAACTTTTACAGTAATAATAGAAAATACAGTATCAATGAAAAATGAAATATACTTTTTTTACATACAATTTGTTAAATACTTTGCAAACTATATATTAAAAAATTACATAAATATTTTGGTCCGCTTTTTAAAAAAAGCTGTTGTTTTGTAAATAATAATCAAAACTCTTATTTCGATTACTTCTCTCGTAATATATATAAATAAAGTTGAGTTTAAAAATTGATGTAATTTTGCTACAAATGGCTAAACGTTAGACTTTTACTGATGTTATAAGTTTTGAATGAGGAGATGAAGATTTGTTGGATGAGTCGCGCAAATCAGTTGATGTTTGCATCATTTCTTGCTTGCATTGGCCCGTCCATTGGGCTACATGTGCATCGTGTGTCTGTTCAGTAACAAACAATTCTTTCATATATTTCTTAAACAAAATGCATTGAAAATAAAATATCGATTTCGAAAAAGTATTTGAATTATTCAGCAAATAATTAGTTTTAAGTGAAAAACTATCAAATATTGAATGATTAAAGATATTTGAGGAATAAGTGAGAGATTAGATAAAGGATTGTGTGAGAGAGAGAGGGAATGGGATACAGTAGATGTAGTCTTACTGCTGTGAGGTTTCTTTGCCATTGAGAATCGCATTTGCCATCACATTGAGGACAGGGACGAGACATCGCATAACCACCGCATTCGCTGCAGTCAAGAGTGACGTGATTTTGATGCCAACTCACTCCACATCTGCATATATGATACCATCACTTGTTTCAATCAAACGAACATTTCATAGACATTTAATTATCATTAACTAATGTATAATCAATACTATTCTATACTTATTTTTCAATGCCTTTCTATAATTGTCTTATAAATAAAAAGCACACAAAAATACAAATAATACGAACGCAAAGCACGAGTTGTATAGAGTTCTTAGGCCTTCAATGGTCACCATTTCGTGTATTAAGTCTTCGGCACTAATTGTTGAGTCCATTGATGATAGCGATGACGAGGATGAGAACCAATGAGGATATAGTAGTGTTGTGTCGATTTCAGTGCTCAGGTCACTGTTGGCTTCAAAGTCAGATCTTTCGATATATAGTTTGCAACTCTTTGTCGAAGTGTGTATCACTGGATCAGACTTTGAGTGACGGATTTGAAACTCTATTATAATTAAAAGAAACAAAAATAAAATATAAGAAAAACCAAGTTTTCGCAACAAAAACAATACAATGCGTTAACCTTTGCCTTAAAGCGACAGGACTTTCAGTTAAAGTCTAACTTTTTGTGTCAATATTTAAGACTAAAACAGAGCATAGGATTCATTTGATACATGTGTACAAGAAGTTCATTGATGTTTGAGTTGAGATTCACTACTTTATTACTGGTATATCATATGCTGTACTCAACGCACACTTACTGTATAATTAACTTTTAAAAACTTTGATTACAAGTCAGGATATAATGAAAGTTTGGCTAAATATACACATGAAAAGTGGTTAAATATAGCCACAAATCAGTGCTCAACTTCTCGTATCTGTCATACAATGAGTTATGAAAGTTATTTAGAAATCTATGCGAAAATCAATATGAATCACATTTTTGAGCACACAATCAGATTCACACAGAGATTTCAATTGAAACTGACTATTCAATGAATACAATACTATAATATCAATAGTGAATAATTAAATAATTTAATGTTTTTCAGTGGAAAACTTCTCACTATAATAATAATATAGTCATCAAATCAAATATAGTATCCAAATAAATAGCTGTGACTAAAAACGTCAACAATTTGTTGTTTATAAAGTAAGTCATAAAACAGTACCAAATATATCTATATATCTATATATCTATTCAATTGCATACTATAGACACAAATTGCATCAAAACTATCATAACTTGTGACTCAATATTATGTCACTTATTATGAATTGATAGCAATTGTCAAACACTTAAAAATAGTTAAATTTAATCAAAAACTAATTGAAAACTATCGCAAAGAGAGAGAGCCATTGGTTGCAGATATAGTGGATCTACGAAGTGGTACAATGAGACCAAATACAAGACATAAGACAGTGAAGACATACCACTGTTAGTGTTGATGAAGTGATTCAATTGGTTGGCGTTGCGGTCATCTCTCTCGCAGTCTTTGGCCGATGAGTGACAACAGGGGAGGAGTTGTGGACAGGACTTGCTGTCGAAACGATGGCCACATATACTGCACGAAGACATCAACGACTGGACACTCATTGAACTGTCTGTGAGGTGACAGTCGATGTGCTCTACAGGAGTGGCAAACGAGTTGTGAATCACTTGTAAACAGACAACACATACACTGTTTTGGTTGCGAATCACTGGCACTCAGTGAACGGCCCCTCAATCCTATGGCAAACCCAACGCATTGCACGTCTGGTCCGTAATGACAGCACAGACTCATTGAGGGGGTGACGGGGGATGTCCGCCACCGCCACCACTCAGCCCACACTCGCGCTGTACACTCAGTGCTCTGCAATCCCCCCAACTCTGCAATGAGTACTCACTCCGAGTATAAGACTTGAGTGAATGACACGTCTGTTGTAAGCCTTATATTACGATAGCTCTGAGAGTTCATTAAACTCTCACTCTTTTTGACAATTGATTACACGTTTGAAACAACACTTCATTATTACCACACACTCCACGCCTAACCCCCGGTCCTCATACCATACCATACCATACCATACCATACCATACCATACCATACCATACTATACCATACCATACCATTCGCACCACTTTTACACTATCACATGCTTTTTATGTGCCCAACATTTATATTGATTGAAGTTTTTGATTCAACAAACTTTGTTTCAGTGTTTAACGAGAGGTCCTATTGTTAATCAGTTAGCACTGGGGTGTTAGTTTCAGGTTCATTTCTAAAAATACATCAAGGAAGTATTCAATATTGAGTTAAAAATCTAATTGAATTGCACTAAAAGCATGTGGTTTTGGCCAAACATTTCGAGTCATTACTCGCCAAAGACGATCGTTTCGAGTTGACAGCACCGGTAGAGCTGAGTCTCATTTGTTTTAGACTAAGGGTTAGCGCATATAAGATATACTCAATTTTGATGATTAAATTTCGCTATGAAAGACAATTACATCTTATGAATGGATATCTCTTTAGGGAACGGATGAGTTGAATGAAAAGTTGGTGAGACTTATAAATGAGGCGAAAAATATTCATTTGACGCCCACTCGAGTCGGCGGACGGTTTGTCATACGGTTTGCTGTGTGCGCCCGAACTACAGAGGAAAGGGATATCGACTTCGCGTGGACTGAGATCTGTCGCCTGGCCCACAGCGCTCTCACCCAATAAACCCAATACTAATACTCTATATATTTATTCAGTTAATTGGGTTTATATTAAAGTTACATAAATATTAACATAACTTTTCATGTTTGCTTTATTAGTGTTCACAAAGAAAAACAAATTATAAATTTCAAAGTCATTCAATGAGTGCATAGGTTTTGCGCATTTGATTGCATTTGCAAATCACAGCAAACGGTAATATCAAATACAGTACTTCTCTCTCCACTCACAGCAATAGCTAATCGTTTGACTAGTTTTGCATTTGTGTCAAGAAATTAGATCAAATATATCGGTCAAAACCTGTACTATTGGCTAACTTTCCTGTTGATTAGAAAAAATTTCGATTTTCTCGCTAAACATGATATTTTGTGTTTTATTTGCTTTTTGATCGTCACATAAAATACTATTTACTGTTAACTGTTTGTCGTATTCAAACAATTTGGTGTGAATTTATTGTTGATATTTGAATGAAATTCATATAAATCTGATTTGTTCTCAATTGTAAAATCATTTGTTGAACTCAAAATCAAAATAAAGTTGTTTTTGTGTTTCTAACGTCACTTTAAATCTAATCTCAGATAACCTAACAATTCAGTCAACATTAGTTCAAATGAAATAGTAGTTCAACTCTTTTCAAAGTTTAAACAAAACTTCGAAAGCATCACAAGTTTTCCCATATTCTGGATTTGACTATATTTTGTGTTTGTTTGTCATTTTAATTTGGCACCAAAAATATTACATCTATATTTTCAGGTAAATGTGAATTTCTATGAATAAATAAATACATATGCTATAGTCTTATCTATAAATTATTATTATATAATTAAAAGTCTTTAAATTATAAATTAGACGAGAGAGAGAGAGAGAGAGAGAGAGAGAGAGAGAGAGAGATTGACAACAACTTACAGAATTGTAATCTCTGACCACTTTAATAATCACATCTAACTGTTCCCATACATAATTGCCACCCAAACCTTCAATCATTTGTAAGCCTATTAACCCACAAGTAATACATTTCTTTGAGGGACAACTAATTCGTGTGTTTAATGACGTTATAAACAGTTATGGATTTATTTCAATCAATACATGCATAGAATGAGTGCCAGTAATCATAGTCTATACTGTAATCATATATCGCGTAAAACTTAAGGATTTAAAAACTTTTTAACTCAACACAAGTACTTTGCGCTCATGATATAGGGACTGGTATATGAGAAAGGTATTTGAGAAATGCCAGGATGTATCTAAATTTGGCGTAAAACTCAATATTGAATACTTCCTTGATGTATTTTTAGAAATGAACCTGAAACTAACACCCCAGTGCTAACTGATTAACAATAGGACCTCTCGTTAAACACTGAAACAAAGTTTGTTGAATCAAAAACTAAACTCAATATTGAATACTTCCTTGATGTATTTTTAGAAATGAACCTGAAACTAACACCCCAGTGCTAACTGATTAACAATAGGACCTCTCGTTAAACACTGAAACAAAGTTTGTTGAATCAAAAACTGCAATCAATATAAATGTTGGGCACATAAAAAGCATGTGATAGTGTAAAAGTGGTGCGAATGGTATGGTATGTATGGTATGGTATGTATGGTATGGTATGTATGGTATGGTAATGGTATGGTATGGTATGGTATGGTATGGTATGGTATGGTATGGTATGGGGACCGGGGGTTAGGCGTGGAGTGTGTGGTAATAATGAAGTGTTGTTTCAAACGTGTAATCAATTGTCAAAAAGAGTGAGAGTTTAATGAACTCTCAGAGCTATCGTAATATAAGGCTTACAACAGACGTGTCATTCACTCAAGTCTTACACTCGGAGTGAGTACTCATTGCAGAGTTGGGGGGGATTGGAGAGCACTGAGTGTACAGCGCGAGTGTGGGCTGAGTGGTGGCGGTGGCGGACATCCCCCGTCACCCCCACAATGAGTCTGTGCTGTCAATACGGACCAGACGTGCACTGCGTTGGGTTTGCCATAGGATTGAGGGGCCGTTCACTGAGTGCCAGTGATTTGCAACCAAAACACTGTATGTGTTGTCTGTTTACAAGTGATTCACAACTCGTTTGCCACTCCTGTAGAGCACACCGACTGTCACCTCACAGACAGTTCAATGAGTGTCCAGTCGTTGATGTCTTCGTGCAGTATATGTGGCCATCGTTTCGACAGCAAGTCCTGTCCACAACTCCTCCCCTGTTGTCACTCATCGGCCAAA